TTAAGGATTGGCTACATGTATGTTAAATGATCAACAAGATATGAAATATCAATCTGATTGGTGTTAAAATGTGTAATCAGAAGACTTAAGTTTCTTTGACTTATTCAGTGAACACACACACTTCACATTAATTCAGACAGAGTCAAGAATATAGTTATGAAAATGACTTTAATTATATTTTCCTAAACTAAATGATTGTAAATGACAAAGTATGAATGAAATGATGGTTATGCAGATAATAGATGATGAATGTAGTGATGGAATGTGATGGATGAAATGATGAAATGTAAGTTATAGCAAAACCTTTTGAGTATGAGAGATTGAGCTTGTGAATTCTGGGTTTAAAATGAATTCAGCTGTATGGTTTGAGAAGCTAAACTTTATTTAGTATAAAACCATCCGATGCCAGTGTGCAGAGTCCACGATACCCTTGTGTGTGTCGCTCCTGGCGGTCCGGAGGAAAGGCAGCCCGAGTGGTGAGTTCACCGGACGTTGAGACTACGAGAACCCAAAGAGTCGTAGCTCCCTTTGAATTCAGCTTTTCACCTGACATGTGGGGTGCAGTACAAGCATTGGGACTGGGCCTTCATTCTTAGGAAGAAAATGTTTTTTAGTCTCATAGTTACCCAGTTTTAGTCAACCAAAGCTCAAAAGGTTTTAGTTTTTAGTCTTACAAAAAATAAATAGTGTATTATTCTTTACCAAATACTGAGGTATGGACCGAGTTTCATGCCAATATTATTTATTTTCGTGCCAAAGGAGATTGGACACATAGCTTCCACAGTTTTGTCCAGCAAAACAATAATCTCCAAAGTGGCATCATTTCTTTTTGCTTCATTGATAACCACTGTATATAATGAATGTATGAATGCAGATTTGTGCACCATTCAGTAGATTTTCACAAAAGAAAACTAATTTTTTTTTTTTGCTTGCCAGAATGTTAGTTAGGATGCCTCCCAGGTGAGGTTTCCTGAGCCGGTCCAACCGGGAGAAGGACTAAAGGAAGAGCCAGGACATGCTGGAGGGACTATGTCTCACGGCTGGCCAGGGAACGCCTTGGGATTCCCCTGGAGGAGCTGGCCCAAGTGTGTGGGGAAAGGGAAGTCTGGGCCTCCCTGCTTAGGCTACTGCCCCCGCGACCTGACCCCGGATAAGGGGGTCGGGTCGCTGCATGGTGGTGCTGCACGAGGCTGATGGGCTGCATGGTGGCGCAGTTGTTAGCACTGTTGCCTCGCAGCATGAAGGTTGCAGGTTCGAAACTCGGCCGCAGCCTTTCTGAGTGGAGTTGCGTGTTCTCCCCATGCATGTGTGGGTTTCCTCCGGGTACTCCGGTTTCCCCCACAGATCACAACATGCCCTATAGGCTATAAATTGTAAGTCGCTTTGGATAAAAAGCGTCTGCTAAATGAATAAACATAAACATAAGCGGACAAAACTGGATGGATGGTAAGATTACTGAAAAATTAAAAATCAAATATTTATACTTACTTTAAAATGTGCCATGTAAAGACTAAATTAAAAACAATTGAAATGTCTCAAAAATACTTTGCAAATAGACAGCAAAGTTTATGCAAAATATATCAAGAGACAATGGTAAAAATAACAGTGAACAGATATTTGTGTAAATAAAAATATATATGCACGTGTGTGTTTGTGTGTGTGTTATTATAGGTAGCATAGTATGTGCCACCGTTGCCCACACATTACATTACAATGTACATATACATATACATATATATATATGTGTGTGTACACACACATACACACACACACACACATAAATCTTCACTCTTGCGTGTTGGTTTAATATTTAACCAGCGTGCGCAATTTCGCTTGCGGTCAGTTGATATCTCGAATAAATATTCTAATCTTGCAACCGTTAAGTTATAGTAAGTATCTTCATGTGTGAGCTTTACTGAGTGCCTCGAAAACCTAACTTTTAATATCAATAACATATTTAATACAGGAATATAAAGAAGATACTAGTTTTGGGTCATTTAGGTCTTTTTCTACAGTCATTGGCCCCCCCAGCCCATCTGGTCTGCAGGGGCGCGCCTCTCGTGCAGCTAAATTGAACGCCGAATCCTATTTCACTTTATATTAGATTGTCTTATTACCGTGTGTGTGTGTGTGTGTGTGTGTGTGTGTGTGTGTGTGTGTGTGTGTGAGTGTGTCTGTGCATGCATGATATCAGTTTTAGCCTTGTTTATTTATTCTTTATGTAACCAGGAAGGTCCCATTGAGAAATCAAAAACCTCATTTTCAAGGGAGTGCTGGGCAAGGGGCTGAAAAAATTACAGTTACATTTGTTTAGCTACACAGGCATGTTATTTACAAAATTGCAGAAGGCAGTTACAACACAGGGAATCTGTCTCAAAGGCTCTCAGTCTGGGTTTTCAATTGTCCTTATATTTTACTACATCCTTATGAGCTGTCTTTAGTGAGCGCAAAGACAACTTTGCTGTACACCTGTGCAATGAAACAATCTTTTATCTTGAATTTCTGAAAATATCAGATATGTAAATAACAGGTTCATTCCATTAGGTATTTTATTTGTTTTTTTATTTACTTTTACATATAATCATAAAATTTAAATATGATGAAAGTTATTTTACATTCCTAACAAATAAAAACACACTTTGAAAAATCCCCCCGTGGCTTTTGGCTTACGTCTGGGTGCCCCCTAGTGGTGAATACATCCAACTGTTACAAGTCTGATCACATCAGTCTGTGTTTTATTATTGTTTATTTAATAGGGACAGGTCGTAATATCAATGCAAGTAGCAGTAATTAAATCACGTTTAACATGAGCTAATGCAACAATCAGTACTACATATGAGGTCATTTTGGTGAATTTAATAGCATCTTCATGAAACCAGGAAATAGCATCTAGGATGAACTAGTACTGTGAAATTTCTCATCGTGGATTGGGCAATCAAAGTTTAAAATAAGTGTCTGAGAATACCTTTGGGAGTGGCCTGCAAAACGCCGTCTTTAACGCCGTCGGGAAAGTCACAGAACACGTAAAAGACGGCGTTTTTGACAGCACAAAACGCCGTCTTTTACACCGTTCTGAGGACACGCTAGAAGTGTATGCAGTTCGGCGTTCAATGCGGCGTTCAATGACTAGAAAAAAACGTCGTTTTTATCGGCGCTCTGAAAGACTACATGAAGACGGCGTGCAATACGGCGTTCTGAAGGGATTTCCGCCACTTTTTTCGGCGTTTTAAGTTTAAAGACGGCGATTAAGACGCCGTTAAATAACCAAACGTGTTTAAAAGTGGGCTAATCCCTAAGGCTTGCGACAGTAGTTGGTCCGGTCTGAGGGGGTGGGGTCAGTCCGTGTGCCCAGCATCGATTTCAGCTTGAAGTCCGTCGACAACCGGCGGGGTCATCAGTTCTCCGTTTGTGTGGCGCGAGGGAGAGAATGAGAATAGTGGATTTATGTCCCTCATGTAGCGAAGAAGAAGAGAAGTCCCTCCGAAAGGTAAGCAGCGACGGAGGGGATTGCATGAAACCCTTTGATTAGTCATAACAGACTTTCCTTATAATTTATTTATCGTCTGTTATTCCCCTTTTTTTCTCCAAATGAAATCGTTTATATAAAGTGTACTTGCGTTTGTGCACTTGCTTGATGTTTATTATAACAGATAAATAAATCTGAATTTGTTGTAAACGTTTGGTAAAAGCTTTGTTTCAAAGAAATGTTTTGGTAAAATAACATGACTAGTTTTTGGTGAATTTTGGCTTTGGAGGTGTGTCAGGTCAGGTGAGGGGATTAGATGTTTGTGTCATTGCAGCTTTCCTGCATTGTGTCACCATCACTTTCAAGATCAGCCAAAATCACCAAGGTTCTCTTGGACCATTTGTGCTGTTCGAAACAGTGGCGTGTCCAGATCTTTTAAAATGGGGTGGCCCAGGTGAGGCATTACTTTGTGCATAGGTGGCACAATCGATTATGCTTTTTTGTTTTACCTCAAGCCTTTTGTGGACAATGAAGTGCCTATTTAAAGGGAAGTCAGTGTGGTGACACCTGGGATGGCCAATCAGATTCCAAGGGTCGCTTGCGCTACCCCAGGCCACTCCCTGGACACGCTCCTGGTTCAAAACTAGGCTTATTGGTAAAAAGCTGACCATAAAAAAATACTACATCAAAAGCCTGCATGAGAGACAAAAACCCACCATTCTTATGTAACTGGGGTCCACAGAAAAATCCCTCAAGAGCTGCACATGGCCCACGGGCCACATTTTGGACATACCCGACTTGTAAGAAAATTAAGAAACACACAGGTTATAAAGTATTTAAAATAAAACAAACTTATTTTCTCTGTATTCTGCATCGCTTGCCACTGGTTATTCACAGGTTGAGGCATGGGTTTTTTAACGCACGGCTCATCAGAGTTCGGTGTCAAAATCCAGCTTTGTATGGTATGGATGTGACACCTAAATGGTCAGTGATGAAACAGGCCAAAGTGTGTGTGTGTGTGTGTGTGTGTGTGTGTGTGTGTGTGTGTGTGTGTGTGTGTGTGTGTGTGTGTGTGTGTGTGTGTGTGTGTGTGTGTGTTTCATGCCATTGGTGGTCCCTTCTGGAAGGTTAACAAGGCGTTTCATTGGCTCACGAGTGGAGTGGGGGAGGTTGCAAATAGTCTGGGTGAAAGATCTCCATCCGGATGCTGCTCTCCTCCTCCATCAAATATCTGGTAGAATTTTTATCATCATTTAAAAAGAAAGAATCTGAGTTTTATTGGTTACTGAAGAGGTTTCCCTTCTCAGTTAAAAGGCGTCTTCTGTTTCAGAGAAAGGAGTTTATGAGGTTGTTTTTATTAATTTCGGTTTAGGAGTAGGGGTCCTTGTTTCCACTCTTAAATATTTTACTAGTTTCTCCTACTTGTCTGTAGTCTTTATTTTGAGATTATAGATGCTAATATAGCTTCACAGGCTCATGTTGCCTTGTAGCATTTGGGATTACTATAATCTGGATGAAGCTGCACTGACCCTTTACTGTCAGTTGTCCTCATCATCATTTTCTTGTAATTTACCAGATGTGCATGATGCTAATCTCAAGCACACATGAAGTCTTATCATTTTACAGTATTTAAGAATTTATTTTGGTGCGTCAGTAATCATTTGTTAGAATTTTGACATTTGATGTTTGTGTAATGCGTAAAAAGAAAATGTAAAATCTCACATGACAATAAATTAAAAGTGTGTCAAGTAACAAATGAAGTGAAATTCTGTAAAGTCTTCGATTATACGAGAGCTTCCATGTTGCGCAAAAATCCTGATGGGATATTTTATAGTACTATAATATCCTGAAAGACATCAGTTGTGAGCTAATCTGCTATATAGATTTGAAAGCAAGATAATTACCTCAACTGTTAAACATCTGTGGTGCTTTTTCACCATGTAGTTTGCCCATTAGGGCGGTACGGCAAGTGTTTGTATCATAAATATTGGCAGTCTTAGCTGTATGTGAGTGGATTTCATTAAGATAACACTTTTGATGCATTAGGATTAGTGATGCACCGATATGAAATTTTTGTGCCGATATCCGATCACTGTTATGGCCGATAACTGATATTTGCAGACATCGATATGCTGACTTTAATGCTTCTAAAATCAGCAGATTTTGTATAGAATGAAAATTATTAAAGCTGAATTTACATTATTATGTAAATATACTGTTCATGTGACGAAACAATTACACATCACCCCCCCACCCCCCACCCCACCCCCACCCAAAACAGGCAAACGAAGGGAGACGAGATAGAAAAGATATTGGTTGTTAATATCGGCCCGGTGTTATTTATCGAACCAATATGATATGTAAAACAATTACCAACATCGGCCGATACCGATATTGATGCCGATATATCGTCCATCCTTAATTAGGATTTTTGTCTTTAGTAGCTAGATATTTAACACTTTACCTTCATGTGATGTTGGAAACCAGGAAGTCGTGTTTTCAAATAGTCATGCCCAGCACACTCCTCTTTCTCTGGTATCATTTAGTTTGGTCTTAATGATTAAATGCATCCTTGTGAAAATTTCAGCAGCAGGTTAATGTAGGAATTGAACCGCCCCCTCGCCCCAAAAGGAAGCTTAACAAAGTCAACTTTAAAAAAGATAATTTAATTAATATAAAGATCAAATAACTTTTTGCTAATTGAAAAGCTAAATCCTTAAGATCCTACATTCTGGCGACTCAGACGCGCCGTGTTGATTAACTCTTGAGTTCTGGAGACATCAACAACTAAGCATGACATTTCGCAGATTTTGGCTAAAGTTCATTGTTTTATTATAATATTAAACCGTCTTCATGCTCAAGTCTAATATTTTCGACCAAGACTCCGACTTGTCCTGGTATTAATCTGATGTGTTCTGCAGAAACCATGAGGCGAAGCACATGAACCGGTTTTACGGCTGTGAATTAACCTCCGGCTACATTAAATGCATAACTACTGTTGGCGATTAAGTCCTAATATTTTCTCTCTGAGTTAATACAGATGTTCAAGTTTTTAAATATCATTTTATTAATTCCAGCTTTACTTTTGTCCCAATCATTAATTTATACATTGTTTTGCTAACAGAGAATTCATTTTTTGCACTTCTTGCTTTTTATTATCTCTGCCTTAAATCTTCAATAAGCAGCATTCATGGTAGGCTGTTGTGACAATATTATTTTACCAGAAAACCAACAATGGTTGTTTTGTCTGTCTGAATGGTGGCTTTATGATGGTACGTCAAAGGGGCTACAAACACACCAGTGTCACAAAACTGCACCAAAGACTGGAGCTTTTAGCAAAAAAATAAAAGTGGGATTGAGCTCAGCTGCGTGACTCACAAAATGCATTTTCACAGCTTCTTTCTAGTCCCTTCCAAATGTCCGTAAATATGTTGTGAAGCTTGTCTGCACACATTCTGAAGTAACAAGGGTCTGGAAAGGTCATCCGTCTTCTATTTATAGCCAAACATTCTTTATTTGTTGTCGGGTGTCGAACCCTGGGAATCGGGTCTTCGAATGATCTATCTAAGAAAACCTGCCAATCAAAAATAAAGTTTACAGCCCACAAAATTACACAATTCATCATCTGACTAGAAATAATTTATTCTGGTTTCAGGGCACACTCATAAAATGACATATAGACTTTTAGATCAACTCTATGTCAAACGTACTTGTGTGTCAGAAGTGAACAATGTGGCTTGTCACTTGGCATAAAAACTACCGCTGACACGAGTGATGATTCCATGGGATGAAAGTTAATGTGTGTGTTGCTTGGCATTTCTCTTGCGTCTAAATTTATCTTGGAATTTCCCCAGTATTGCTGTCGGTTTGTCTTTTTCGATGCCACTTTGACTTTGTCTTCGGTCCACATACTTGACCTCCCTCCGTAGCTGAATTGTGAGGAAGTTACTCTGTTCCGTCCAGTTTCACCCTGCTCCCCTTACACGTACGCCAATCCAAAGTTTTTAATCCCTGTAAACATGAGTTATAGATGCAAAGCGTGACAACCAAACCACCGGAAAATTCTTCATCAGTAAATCTAGTATACTGTGTGCTTAGTACGCAAGCCAAAGGGCTCTGGAGCAGCTTACTTTGGCTTACCCTGATTGGACAGCAGCCTTCCAATATATTTGCCTTCTTGGATTATTTAATCTGCTTGCCAGTGTAAAACTTTCTCTGTGATGCAGAGTGCATTACGGTCTAGTGTTAGACAAAGAGCAGATGTAGAAGAAGGGACTTCTCTGAGCAACACATATCGCTGTCCAACATCCTCCTCTAGTATGACCTTGCACATCTTCTGTCATCTTTAGAGTCAGAGTGACGGCCCTCGCTTCAGTTTTACTCATTCTGTTATGACTGCATCTATGCCAGGGAGACAATCGATTTATGAGAATGTGGCTTTCTCAGCAGGATCCAGTGGTTTTGTGTGTTTATGAATACCATTCCCTTGACATTCCCATTCCCTTCATACCACCCTTTTATAAAGTCTTGTCATTCTTGAAGCAAGGCCTCCCCTACGACCCTACTGTTTTCCAGCATTTTAGACTTTTTTGGTAATTGTTTGTCTAAAACCTCTTTTTTGGGTGGGTCAAATGCATGGTGAGGTGACCTGCTTCCATAACCTCTGCAAGTTATTTAGTTAAGATGAGGGGGGGTTGTTCAGAATAGGGAGTGTCATTTGGATCTTCGGAAAAATGATAAGGCGGAGGGAAAGTGGTGATGCAGAGTCAGGGGGGACAGAAATACTCCTTTAAGGACAGCAAGCTATTCTGAGCCATGTGGCGTTCCCTGGAGATTGTGTTTTGAATGTTTGTCCCGGTCCACATAGTCTGTGAGTTGCTTCATATGCTTAAATGCTACTAGCATGCAAAATAAACAGCAGGAAGTCAAATCTCATGTTAAGGACAGTGTAGTTTGCTCTCAAAGATTCCTTAAAGTTACATTTTTGTAAAGTTATTACTCTACCACCCCCAAAGTTTAAC